TTAGAGGAACACCTAAAGAAGGGTTCAACATCCTTAGCCATCAGAGAAATGCAAATCAAAACAACTCTGAGATTCTATCTTACAACTGTCAGAATGACTAAGATCAAAAACAACACAGTGACAGCTCATGCTGGAAAGGATGTGGAGCAAGGAGAACACACCTCCATTAGTGGTGGGAGTGCAAACTTGTACAGTCACTATAGAAATTGCTATGGTGGTTTCTCAGAAAATTGTAAATTGATCTACCTCAAGATCCAGCTATACCATTCCTGGGCTTATAACCAAAGGACACTCTACCATACTACAAGGACACTTGCTCAACTATGTTTATAGAAGCATTATTTGTAATAGCCAGAAGGTGGAAACAACCTAGATGCCCCTCAACAAAAGAATGGATAAAGAAAATGTGATACATCTACACAATGGAGCATTACTCAGCTGTTAGAAACATGACATCATGAAATTTGCTGGCAAATGGATCGAACTTGAAAAGATCATCTTAAGTGAGGTAACCCAGACCCAGAAAGATAAACATAGTATGTGCTAACTCATAAATGGATATTAGATGTAAAGTAAAGGATAGCCATGCTACGATCCACAGACCCAAAGAAGCTAGGTAACAAGGCTCACGGGGGGACACCATGAATCTCACTGTGAAGGGGAAATAGAATAGATATCACAAGTGGACATGGGGAGAGGTCTGGATGGGGGGGAGCATTGGAATAAGAGGGATCAGGTAGAGGGGGCGGAGAGTGGAGGGAAAGAATACTGGGAAAGACCACTGGAATCAGGGGCATCTCTGGCATGAGCTATCAACCTAGTGCAATGGAAACTCCCAGAAATCTATGAAAGTGACCCTATCTAAGACTGCTAGCAATGAGAGATATGGAGCCTGAACTGGCCATCTCCTGTAACCAGGCAAGACTTTCAGTAAAGGGACTGGGACACTAACTTAGCCACATAACCTCTGACCTAAAATTTTCCCTGCCTATAAGACATGCTGGGACAAAGGTAGTGCAGATATTATGGGAGTGACCAAACAATGATCCAGCTTGAGACCCATACTATGAAAGGTAGCTCACCCCTGATGATGACTGGAGGGCCAGGACCCAGAGGCTGGATAGCCCAGAGACCTAGAATACATCCAAACATGACTGGAAAACAAGAAAAAAGTTCAGAAGAAATGGTTCCTAATGCTACTATGCTATACTCATAGATTGGTGCCTAACCCAGTTGTCATCAGAGAGGCTTCCTTCAGCAACTGATGGAAACAGATGCAGAGACCCACAGCCAATCATTAGGCAGAACTGGGGAGAGGGGATCCTGTGGAATCTGACTCTGTTGCCTGCTCTTGGGACCCTTTCCTCCTGCCGGTTGCCTGGTCCAACCTTAATAGGAAAAGAGGTGCCTCATTTCACTGCAACTTGATTTACCATGGCTGTCTGATACACATGGAAGGCCTGCACTTTCCTGAAGGGAAGGGAGAGGAAATGGATGGAGTGGAAGAAGATGGGGAGAGAGACTGATAGAAGAGAAAGGAGGAAGGGGAAACTGATCAAGATGGGGGGAAATTAATAAGAAAGAAAGGAAGGAAAGAAGGAAGAAAAAGAAAGGGAGAAAGGAGAGAGAGAGAGAAAAGAAAATGTATCTATATACAATAGTATTTTTTTTTTTCAGCCATAAAGGAAAATGAAGTTAGGTTGTTTGTAGGAAAATGAATACAACTGGAGATAGTCATATTAAACAAATTAAGCCAAATATCATTATGTTTTCTTTCATTTGTGGCTCCTAGATTTTATATAAATACATAAAATCCTGCACATATATTTGGCATGAAGGTAGAAGCAAAATGTTTAGGAGAGCAAAGGAGACATGAGGAAGATGAGGCTATGGATGGGGGAACGTACACACAGTGTGAGAGTGTGTGTGCTCACACGTGTGCCTGTGTGTGTGACATGAACAAAGCAGAAGGTACAACATGGAGGAAAAATGAGTCTCAAGGAAGTGGAGAGAAGAAACAAGAAGGGTAATGGACAGTGTGTCCATCACTTTTCTTGTTGCCACAGCTAAAAATCTGGCAAGAAACAGGTTAAGGGAGGAAGTTGTCTGGGCAAGGATATAATGGAAAACCTACAACAATTTAAAGGGACACATCTGATCACAGCAGAGGAAGAGCTGCAGAAGCGAGGCAGCTGCCACATCGCAGCCGCAGTCAGGAAGTGGAGTTTGAGCAGAAAGTAGAGGCAGACTGTCCATCATCTCAAAGCTTCTCCCACAAGGCTTTGCCTCCTAAGGGTTCCACAGCAGCATCCCCATCTGGTGCCCCGGGACCCAGAGCCTGTGGGGATGGTCCACATTCAAACCACAGCGGGAAGGAAGCAAAGCTAAACACAGCACTTCCTCTGCCGCAGAATCTAGATGTCTCCTTAGCAGAAGAGGGACTGTGTTGGAAGAGGGAAAGGAACAATTGATGGAGAGGACAGGAAAGGGGCGCATATATGAATGAGCACGGTACAGTGATACATATGTGTGAATAATAAAACTTGTTGTTTGGTGTGTGCCTACTAACAAGTTAGTTGAAAATAAATAAACAGCACTGGATATGGTTACATGTCAAAATTAATATAAACTGGGAAATTAAGCTTTTTAATTTTTAAAAATTATAACGATTACATTGAAAGTGAATATGTTTTTAATTTCTAGGAATATATGAATAATATTGCCAAACTTATAAGTGAGATGAAAGTCAAAGAGGAGGGACATAAAATCGAAATGAGCAAACTTTATCAGGATATGCAAAAAAAAGGTAACTTGAAATTTTCATTTATTGAATTCTGACATATCATGAAACAATTTAAAGATGCATATTATTTTTCCAATAATAGTGAATGAACACTGCCTTGATACATTTTAAGTTCTGTATATTTATGTATATACATATATATAATACATATAATAGATCTAAGTTTCATTCATATTTGTGCTCAGTTTTGCCTAATGTGAACCAGCATCTTTATATAATTAATATAAAAGGTTTAAATAGGTTTTCCATTATATCCTTGCTCTATTGAATATAACTTCACTAATTTTCTTTAGTAAAACGGATCTCATTGCATGTATGTAGTGAATTGGTTTATTTTGAAGCCATGCTTAGTGGCCCTATCTTTATGAACATCATATATAAAATTAACTTGAGGGAGGCAGAGCCAGTCAGATCTCTGTGCATTCAAGGCCAGCCTGGTCTACTGAGCAAGATCCAGAACAGGAACCAAAAACTACACAGAGAAACCCTGTCTCGAAAAGCCAAAAAATAAAATAAAATAAAATAAAGTCAGCTTGAAGCCAGGCCTGTACACCTGTAATCCCAGCACCTGAGGCTGAGGTAGGAGACACATAACTTCTTTCAAGCTCTCTACACTATGTAGCAATCCACAAGAAAATGGGCAAATATTTGACCAAGGACTGGAGAGATGGCTCAGTGGTTAAGAGCACTTGCTGCTCTTCTAGAGGATCCAGGTTCAGTTCCCATCACACACATGGCAGCTCACAACTGTCTGTAACTCTAGTTCCAGGGGATCTGATACCTTCACACCAATGTACACTTTTCTGTTTAATTTCCTAGTTATTCCTTATCAAATTAAAAAGTGAGTAGATTCTGAAGTGCTGATTTATAAATAATTTTCACGAGATGCACCAAGAAATTCAGTTTTGCAAAGATTAATATTCAATGATATTCCTTTGAACACTATTTTAACCCTTAAGCTAAGTATAATAATAATTTAGTGCTATAAACTAAATACATATAAAGCCTATATCCTGAACTACAGAAATGCCTTAGATAGATGTGGTTTTAATCCAGTATATGTTTCTACAGTGAACAATTATAAGTATGTTAATAAAACACTACCCCAAATATGTATCCTACCATCAGCTTTTAAACACTGCTGTTGCTGCCATTGAAAGCACTTATTTTTATTTTTATCTTTATTTTTATTTTAGAAGCTTTAATGTGCTCTGGAAAAATGAGATCTCCTAAAACTTATTAAATAGTTTTTTTTTCTTCAGTTTTTAAAGCTCTTAAAGAACAATGAAGTGAAATTTTAGTTTCTTTTTTAAAAAAAGAAATTGTTTCTGTTATCTTTAGATAGTCAGAGAGGAAGACATTGGATAAGGGAATGGTTGCCTTGTTCCTACTTTTTATATTATACAAAAAGGTTCAGCAACAGAAAGACTGTTGCTTAGGGGTGTATTCTTTGACACATTGTCAGGCTAAGAAAATCTGAAGTGACTGAAGTGACTGAGAAGGTCAGTTGTATTTGGGGCGACTGACAGGTAACAATGGGTCATGTGGTGTTGATGTGCCATTAACAATAGAGAGATTAGATGTGTAGTTCAAATGGGGAGAAAAGCAGGGCCTGAAACAGTCATGGATTAGTTGTGGGTAGAAATCCCTTACTTCTGGGTTTTGTAAACTGATTGGCTCTTACTAAAATAAGAGATTGTCTTATTATAGGCTTAGTCCATTATCCTCATAGTGGAGAGCATATCACAGGCAGGCAGGTGCTGGAGCAGTAGCTGAGAGCCATCCTTTGGCAGAGAGAGATACTGGGCTTTTGAAACCTCAAAGTGACACACTTCCTCCAACAAGGCCACACCTCGCAATCCTTTCAAATAGTTCCACTCCCTGGTGAGTAAGCATTCAAATATATGAGCCTGGGGGTCCGTTCTTATTCAAACCACCACACCTCAAATGACTGTGCTTTGCACAGTCTAGAGTACTACATGTGTACAAATGATAAGCTACGAAGCCAGGTTTCCCATTAAAACCACACTTTAAAATGACCCCTGGGTAAGGGGCCCATCATGTACCTCCTGTTTCTTTCTCCTAAGGTGGAGGCAGCATTCCTCTCAACAGTTCTCATTTGTTAGAACGTCTATACCTAGCAAATGGCTCTAAATGTGAGGCTTCGCCTTAAAGATAACATCCTGAGAAAGGCCCTTCCCCCTTTGGGTTCTTTCCCCCAATTTTGTTTACCATTTTTTTCCCTTTTTGATTTTGAATTTTCCCCCCCGGGTTATTTTTTGTGCTTTTTGGGGGGTTTTTGGACCCTTTGGGGGTTGGGGCTTCCTTGGGGGAGTTTTTTCTGGGGTGATAAACCTTGTGCCTTACAGCCCAGCCCCACTTCATATGACCTCTGTTTCCTGGTTCACGGAGATGAGCAGCCACTGCCGGCTCCCACCCCACAGAGCTACTCACGGCCATGTCTTCTCCACATAGCGGCTTGAATCTACTCACTGAGCCAAAGCAAACCTTCCTTCCCCTAAGTTGCTTCTTAGTGATGGGAAAAGCAACTAATGGTTTCCTCCAGAGTTGTCTGCACTTTGCCATGTTCCTCCTGCATCATCCCAATCACAGCTGTAATTAATGTCTGCCTCCTAGCCCAAAGCAGGGATTCAGTGAAAACAGAGAACACATGTACTTTGTATGTAGCATTTAGTATAATGCCTGGTACACAAGTGATAATAAACATACTGAAGGAAAAATAAAATAAACGTAAGCACATAACTTTGAACTGCTAAATGAATGAATTTATTTTTGTTTTACTTAGTTGAATTAAATGAAGAAAAGCACAAAGAATTAATGGCAAAGAAGGAGATGGAAATAGCGGAGCTAAATGCAAAGTTACGAACTCAAGAGAAGGAAAAGCAAAATGAAATACTCAGACTACGTCTAGAAGTAGGTGCTCACAAGTCTGCTAAACAGGAGCGTGTTCCTTTGTCTAAACCATGCTTTGTTTGTTTCTTATTGCAATGACATCAATTTCAGACCAGATAGAACCCTCCGAGAAGAAGATGCTCCACATTCTCACTCTCAGCGAACATGGCGCTCCGTCCGCAGGCTGCTGGCCATAGGCTTTACGGCGGCACTTGATCTGAGGAAGGTCCCAGCTTCCAGGAAGGATGTGCCTCCTCTGAGAATGAGGACAGCCACTCAGGAGTTACCTGAGTTTACAGTCTGGTCTGCACAGAGACAAACAGCCACCATTCCAGCACGGGGAGAGTACAACAAATCCTTGGTTTCTCTCTCCCCAGAAGAAATCATGGAACTCTTTTTGTTTTACATGGGCTAAAAACAGACAAATTTCTCCATAATATATTTCTATGAAAATTCTAGAGTCAACAAAATTCCTTTGGAACATTTGTAAATGTATTTTAAATAAGTGTGTCTCATAAATTTTGTAGTTCCTTTTTCTTTTCTGTTCCACTACATGTCAGAATCTCAAGGATACTGATGTGTTAACAAAGCATTTGTTTTTTGCATTTTTTTTCTAAATTCTACCAACCTGTTTTTCCATTATTATGCCATGGCTTCCACCCATCTCTACTTCCACTTTACATTATGCAAAAATTCACGGATCTTAATTAAAATTAATTATTTTAATATTATTTGAGATTAAATATTAATTAACTAATTAAATTATAACATTTAATATTAAATAATTAACATTATTTAATATTAAAAATAGTTAAAGTAAGCCAGACGGTGGTGGCACACACCTTTAATCCCAATACTGGAGAGGCAGAGCCAGGCATCAGATCTCTGTGAGATCGAGGCCAGCCTGGTCTACAGAGCAAGATCCAGGACAGGTACCAAAACTACACAAGATACCCTGCCTCGAAAAAAAAACAAAAAATTAAAATAATTTATTTTCCAGGAGCTTTGCTATGCCCAGGGTACTTGGTGGGGGTCTATAGGTAACGTTATGGTGCAGAAAGGGGGTTAGGTTGCTTCAGAAGGATTTTTTTATTGCTATTAACACTGCTGTTGCTATTGCTGCCATTGTGTGGCTGGCAGTACGGCTACTGATGGTGCCATCTCTGGCTCCTAGCCATTATGTCCACAGAGAGCGCTGGCTGGCCAGCTGAAATACAGCAGCAGGTCGTATTTCAAGATGTACCACCAACTTAGCTTCCATCAGTTAGGAATTTTCATTTTATTTACTACCTGGGCCATATCACTAGACTAGTCTGGTTATACTGTTTGACTAGTACTCAGATGTCTGTCTTCATTATAACTCTCCAGTTTTCTCCTCAAACCAGAACACAATCTCATGGAAAGCTTATTCTAGTTTTCTGAGAGGCTACACTAAAGTAAATCTAAAAGAAGAATTATAGTGGAATATTATGCTTTAAAAATGGCTTGTAAGAATAAGCTGTGGGAATCTTTTAATTTTACTCAATTTAATTCAAACAAAAACAAAAACAGAAACCCTGAATTGACTAAATTACATCCAATTTCTAATATTTGGCTTCAAAGTTTGAAAGGTATGAGCTTTTCTCCTAAGAATATGAATTACAATGTATTTTCTTGACAAAAGTACACCAACGTAATGTGGAAACATTTTCTACTCAGTGTTCAAGAACATGCCTCCCACGGAAGGGTAGGAAGCGCAATGGTGTCTTGAGAAAAAGTACCATGCTACCTAGAGAGGTAGTGCCCAGGCTTTGGGCCCTTTTTTAAACCCCCAAAAGCAATTTTAACTCACCATTTAGCTGAATCTTGTTTGGATGTTCTTTGTTCTTTTTTTAAGTTGTTTCATAATTTTAAGTTGTTTCATAATTTGAAAAACTTAGTCTATTATACAGATTGTGTTCAATTCAAAATATATAACAAAGGGTTTTGTTGGTATACTTTTTCTGTAGAAACATTGTTTCCAAGTATTGAACTCTAACAGCCTTAATAACTTTCTCTTTTTGAATTTGACTCAGTTTGACACCAAACTAGCAAGAATTCAGACAAAGTCAAAATCCTATGCAGATGCTACTATTCTGCCACAAAGTATCTACAGAAGGGTATGTGCATTTTGTCCTATGACTATAACTTCAGTAAATTAATTGCCTTAGTGTGTTCCTATCAACATTTCCTAATGTTTACTTTAAATACAGTAAATATTTTTTGTAGCCTAATACCATTTTTCCCTTTGAGTCGCACAAAAGTGAAGCTCCAGGCCTTTCAAAGTACAGCAGTTTTTAAAATATAAGCCTGAAGTGTGTTTTGAGTGTTGTCTTGCCCTTCCTTCTACTTAATCTTACTTCTCAATTGCAATGACAACCTTTCTTCTGCTTCGTTTAGAAGCTTCAACATCTTCAAGAGGAAAAGAGCAAGGAGATTTCGAGTCTCCAGAACACCATCCGAGACCTGGAGCAGCGCCTTGCAGTGGCCAAAGACTCCCGCCTCACACGGAGACGGTTTTGAGTGAGCACTTTATGCAACAGCTACAGCTTAGTTTCTTTAAAGGCATTAAAAAAATTCTTTCACTTCTTTTTTCAATGTGAGCATGCTAAATAATAAAGACGCACACTTTTAAGCTTTTTAAAATTGCATTTATTGAGATAAGTCTGTACTGTGGCCAACTCTGTACTGCATTCTTGCTTAATGGTATTAGCCATAAAAGAGTTCAGGTTCATAGGGCCGAGTTTCTCTATTAAACCATCATTGATTATGGAAATACTGTCTTAAGCAGCATGCAGGTTAACAACATACTTTTCTTCCATTACATCTTTCGAGACAGTCACTCACAGTTCAGAAGAACAACACAACACAAGATGAAGAAAATGAGATACACAGATGTATGTAGTAAAGGAAAGCTAGTATTCTTAGATATAAAAAAGATAAGTAGATATTAAGATGTAGTCTGTTTAAGATTTAGTTGGTTAAAAATGTAAGAATGAAGAGATGACGTTCTCGTTGTTTTGAGAGTTTAAGTAAAGAAAAAACTGGAAAATGTGTCTTTGTCGTTCTTTCTCCGTTCTAAATTACGAGCTATCCAACAGAAACCCCTAGGTCATAGTTTATGTTTCTGTTCTCATCAATGTAAATAGAACACTGGAAAAAGACAAAGAAAGACATATTAACCAAGAGCTGCAATCACTTTTTAGTTACCCCACAACACAAATCTGATTTGGGCCAAATTTTCTGTGGCATAAAATTTTAAATTTAGAAGCCAATATGGTAGATTTCTCCGTGTTTGCACAAATCCAATTCCTGCTTTTAGTTCACTGATTAATTAAGTGGATCGCAAACTTCCTTAAAAATGAAATTGTGTCTTTAGACTGACTTAGGGAGTATCCATCTTATTTTAAATATTTAGTTTGAGCGTCATTTTCACTTTTTGGTCTTATTCTTTCAGCTTCAGGTGGGGCTGGCTTCTGTGGGGTTTGGTGGCTGACTCCGTCAGGCAGCGGGAGGAGCCCGACACTGTCAAGATTCGATGACTTTCTCCTCCGCAAAAAGTCCCTGTCAGCTACACAGGGACGGGAGGTTTTCAGCGCACTGTCAGGTGATTGCGGACCCCGACTTCTCAAATATGAGATGGCGGCAGTGTCAGCAGCAGCTGCTGGCAGTCGTCCCAGACTCCTGGGACAACTTACACAGGAGCTGGTTTAGGCACCCCTTCCGGCAAAGCTTCCTCTGAGCAAGTGAAAGCTGTAGGCCTTCACTCGCCTGCATGTCTCAGCTCTCTAAGTGACCCTGCTTGGGCTGGGGATGTTGTAAGGCTGAAGGGGGCAAAGCTGGCTTAGCATCTAGTGCCCCTGGTTTCTCATTCGCTGACAGCTCACTGCCCCCAAGATGCCCGTGCCCGCGCTCATTCTCTGACAGCTCACTGCCCCCAAGATGCCCGTGCCCGTGTTTGTGATGGTGCTTGTGATGGTGGTGATGTGTCTTTGAGGGCTCCGCTGTGCTACCCACGGCAGCTGAGGACACATTTTTACAGAAGTCTTCATCTTCAAGACTCTGGAACAAATTTATAAATCTCTTATTAGCAAGCTCATAGATTTACCATGAATGCATTTTTAAAAATTACTTGTAGAGCCAACTTTTATGTTATTCCAACAGGTTAATTAGGACACAGTTGGTTAGTATATTAATGAAAAAGAGCCTGACCTTGGTCTCAATGTCTATATTTTTTATTAAAGGTTTAAAGAATCCAAACTACCATAGTTCTCTTTGCAAAATCAAAACTAAGTAAACTGCTGAAAAAACTTAGATCGTAGTGAAGTCGGCTAAATACGGAATCCCGACATCAGTAGTGCTGTGTGTAACTTTTCACCCTTGCCATCTAATCTAATCCTGTTTTCCAAAGCAAAATGGCTTCTCCCTGACAACTCAAAAATGCCAGTTAAAAACTGGCAGCTTTTCATTCTGCAACATGTCTGGGAAAATGTTTTTAATTTCACCAAGCTTTGGTAATGTTCACACAGTTCTGTCGGGTAAAAACAGCATCATAGCTTACTTTAATTGACAGCCTTTTTTTCCTTTTAGTAGAACAAATAATGTATCATATAATTGATGGCATCTGGGAGACAGCAAAACAGAAAAGCGTTGATTTGGTCTAGATATCAGATGCCATGGTCTGCTATTCTTGTTAACAAATTCTTCATTCGTTTTAAGCTGATTATGGGAAATGTTTCTGCCTTTTTATTTCAATACAACTGGGTATGTTTATAGCAGGCATTTACACAAATGCAAACCAAAAGTAACCCCAAAATAGGAAAAATAAAATCACAGTGGCATTAAGTAATCATGTCAGTTCAACTTTAAGAGCTTTATTTGCAACCCGGTCTCCTCATCTTAAAAATCTGAAACTAACTCTCAGATTTTATGAATATTAACATGTAAAAGTGGTATAATTAAAATGCCCTGTCAACAAAGTTAATTGATTAAATGACTTGTTGAAATCTGAGGAAGCTTCCTGTCGATCTAGGGAAAGAAAATGTAACTACTAAATAATTTCAGAACATTTTCAAACCTGAACTTAAATTTTGGCAGACTGCCCTATTAGAGAAACTTTGTTTAAAATTATTTATGGGAGAAAAAATTTAGTCAATATAAATCAAAAGGTTTTTATAAAATAATTAAATGTAGTACTTCTCATAACAAGAACAAATATTTTCATGGTTATTAGGAGATAGCAGTAATGAGTAGAACATATTTCTTTTTCAGGTAAGGCAATAATTCAGCTTACAGACTGGGAAAGAGGACAGCCCTTTAGCAAAGCTGGTTGTCCTGAGTCCTTGACAATGTATTTAGCTATCGACAGGTAACATCACAGATGAGCTTGACTATCGCTGTGCTCCAAGCATGCCCAGCTTACCACAGTCATAATATTTTATGTGTTGACTAAATTCTTGGAGCACTCATACTCATGCAATAACATTCATTAGTAAGTGACATAGTGATCTACATTGATTTTTATTATTTTAAATATTTATTATTTTTTACTTTATGTGAACGATTATCATGCCTGTTGGATTAGGTGCACTGCCTCTGTGCCTGGTCCCCTCAGAGGCCAGAAGAGGGCACCACATGGACTGGAATTCGAGTGGTTCTAAGCTGCCATGTTGGTGCTGGGGACTGAACCGGGGTCCTCTGCAAGAGCAGCAAGTGTTCTTAACCACTGAGCCATCTCTCCAGCCATGATTTGTTGGCATGATTGTTTTTAAAGCCTTTCAAGATAAAGGTAGCAATATGAGTCTTGCAAATATGTTTTAACAAGTGTTATATAACAGAAAATGTGCATTTAAGATTTTCTTATCTAATTGATGATAAACCACTTATTTAGATACATTTTTAAAGTTTTCTCCTTATCACCCAGTAAAAACAATCGAGAAAAATACCTACCGTGAGAGAGCAGTTTCCACACTTCTGCTCACAGTAAGCGATCTTAATGGCTTCTTCGACATACGGGAAAGTGAGGAAGGAATAGGGCAAGCCCAGGTGATACACCAGACGGCCACATCTAAAAGGCAGATACCATGTTACTACTGTCCTCTCTGCTGTGACCTTACTCAGGCTAGGCTGTGTAGCCTCTTCCATGCTTCTAGTAAACTTCCTTGAGTGGGGTCTATAATTGAGTTCCCAGGCAATATACCAGGTCAGGTTATAGCAAGGTTGCTGAGTCTGACTTTAGCATTTTTAAATGTTATAGATGACATTAAATAATTTAAAAATGTGGAATGACTGTGACTCAGTCAGATACTTTTTTAATTAGCATATGTCCTGCCAAAGGCTAACCATGGGAGCTTTTCATAACTGCTCAGGCAAGACAAATTTCACAAAACCAGAAATCATTGCATAACAAAAACAACGTCAGAGTTTGGGCCAGTATCTCCTTTATTTAATAATGTGTAGTCTAGGAAGCAAACCCAAACCTTTCACATTCTGTGTAAGTGCTCTACCAGTGGGCTATATCCCCAGCCCTTGATTTTTTGAGATAGATTCTCATAATGCAATTCAAATTAGCCTTGAACTCACTGTGAGGCCTAAGCTAACCTGAAACTCATGAGTCTCCTGTCTATTGAATGACACAGGTCCTGGCATTGTGAGTCGATAGCACACGTGTGCACGATGCTCACTGGCCCGTTTACCCCAAGAAACATATCTGATGTAAGAAAAATCTCAGCACAGTAAAATCACTAGAATCGGAGTTTGACATTTTTCAAAATGGTAAGGTTGAAATGTCGATTTTACCCAAAATAGAAGTCTTTGTATTTGTACTTTACAACTGACGAGAAGTTTAGTGGCCTGAAAGAACAAAGTACGAAGCTAAAATGGTATTTAATGTGAGACAAAGAGAGGAGCCAGCCCAGGCAGAGCCAGAAGAAGGCAAGCATCATCAACCAAACATGTTTTATAGAAGACAGCATGTGCACTGCAATTCTCTCAAAATATGAATGGTTTATTTGATCATATATTCCAAAATAAATTCATACAGATCATGCTGAAAACAATTTCCATACTCGGTTAGGAAATGCAAGCAAATAGCCACATAAAATTAGACATAAATAGTACGGTCTATGAAGTATGATTATTAAGCTGCACAATATTTAGGATTATATCTGTTATGCAAATGGATTTTTCCATTTATTTAACACACAGGGAAATGTAGAGTCCGTTTTCTGTAACTATCTATTAGAATGGTGGACTCATTCAACTCAAAAAGGTCACTTCAAAAATATAAAAGCCATACCTTCAATGACCTAATTTGAAACTGAGTACTTGATATAAAACAAAGACAAATGCCTTATTTTAAATCCTTGACTATTAAACCAGAAAGCAAACACATGAGAAAGTTGTCAAAATCTAGGAGGGGAAGTAGCAAGAAAGTCACTTGAGGGGCTGATTATGAAGGCAACGTAGATAAATGCAAGACTTAGACTTGGTGAATGATTAGAAGTCCCAAACTGCCTGTCACGGTTTTCGGAAGGGCAGATGGTAGCAAAGCCATCACACGAGACCATGTGTATCACAACACAACGCAGTGGATAATGGGGAGGGACAGAGGCAGACGGTAGTATTTTTGGATTGTGTCCTCTAGTCCCTCCAAGAAGACTCACAGAAAGGTCAAAGTTTAAGGAATGGGTTTAAAAAGAGTATAACTGATTCCTA